GCTAGGCTTACCGCACCATGACGTCACTGCTGGAAGATGTCAGGAGTGAGGTATTGCTATATTTGTGCAAAAATGGCCGCTCCCAGACTCAGTGATCGCAATGAAAATTATTCATTCATTAAATCACTGCGAACGCACTAGTTTTTGGTATAGATAATGATCCATTGATTATTCCTCGCTGACCAGACTTTTCCGTTAAAACTTGCTCTGAGGGCGGGAATGTTTTGAGCCACCTTGAGTGCCAACTCAACAGAATTCTCTAAAATGAGCCCATACATTATAAACAAAAAAACACCCATATAAACTACTTTCCCTTCGTATTTTGAAGCTTATATACAAGTTGATTTAATGCCACAAGGCCACACATTATCACCTTCTGCCCCTCCTTCTCTGCACCCATTACTTTTTATTTTTAGGTTCTCCTCTGCTACTTATGTCTGGACCCGTTTTCGTGGCTAGAGCCAACCTTCGCATATTTAGGGTAGATCCAACTAGAGAAAGTAAACCCTCTCTAGTTGGCTACATCTTAGCTTTAATTAGGATCCTAAAGGGCGTTTATTTTAATTTCTATTTATAATTTTTACCACCACTGTCCGTGACCGGTGCTGAAAGGTATTAATCTGCTTTGCACTCAATGACAAATGATAGCCACAAGGGATACTTTGATGTGTTCTTCAAAGTGGAACTCCCAAGGATTCAGGATTTAGACAGTTTGTGATGTAATCAGTCTACAAAAGCAGCCTAGAGACAAAGCAGCCTCTGATACGGGACACACCCCTATTCTCACTCCTGTTACCATTACTGTCCAATGCTTTTCTTCCTACAACCATTCCCACACACCTTGGAAATTTGACATTCTTTACTTCTGTTACAGCACCACTCAAATGCTCCTCCAGCTTTTGGGATTTCATCTGTGTGATGAAATTTTTTTTTTATAGATATCATCCTTGGCAAAGTGTTTTCCTTCTTAATTCTACTCATAGTTGGGTTGACTGTTCTGACTCTGAACCATTTCTTTATCCCTCTTTTCTACCGCCTCTACTTAACCTGACTCTACTCCATACAATCAACTTTTTTAACTTTTCCATTACCGATATTTTGGCTTTTTTCAGCCCTGCTAATTTCTGCTCATCCCCACTCATAGGCCGACATGCTACAGGTCTACTGCTTGTGGATGTTATTAATCCCTCCTGTAGTCTGTTTTAGCAAAATACTTAAAGCAGACATAACTATGAACTGAATGGTTTCATTTTTGCCTGTATAGAATAAAAATTCCTCCTCTGTAACTACTTTTTATCGAAGTTTGCCGTGAAACGATAATGCCTTCATTTCAACTAAATAGCTGCCAGTTATTTTTACAAGTGTGATATCAATTTTTAATTAGTACATATTAGGTCTTTGCTATTATTATAAATGACAAAATGCTATGAGCTACAGAAGAGGGTGAATATTGATGTTTTTTTTTTAAATACTTTGCTGATTATGGTCTATAACGAGGAGGTTATTGCATATTAAGGCTTAAGGAGAGATGCAATAAAACGATTTGTTTTGCCTTAAAAGCTCCTTCAACGTACTTTCTATTCTTATTTAAAAAGAGATTTAACAAAGACTGCTAACAGCATTCTGCAACAATCATTTAATCCTTAATGAGTCAGAGGATGTTCTCTTTTCTGAAGGGAAGTTTTGCTTATAGTTCATTATTTAGTAGTCTGATATGCATTAATCCACTTAGCTTCCCAGATGTTGAGTCCTCTTCTGTACACTTGAGCCCGCAGTTAATGCAAGGCTGGTTGCTCGAAAAATTTAAAAGGGACAAAACTGCTTCATTTATTGATGGCAGCAAGAAAGTCATCAGTTATGAAAACATATATATTAAATTCCTAGCAACTTGTCTCATTTCTTTGTTCCCAGAATATTTGTACCAAATGAGTAGAAAAAAATATCTGTAAAAAAAAATAAAAGATATTCCCTTGCAATCTTGGATGTTTTAGGGTCAGAGTCGGCCACATATTACATGTAATAAACAGTGAGACTCCCCCATAGGATGAGGGGCATGCGGTTAACTTCTGCAGCAGTGCCACAGCGATTTATTTTCAAGGTTGTGTTCTGTCAGCTTGGGGACCAGCGACAGCGTATCCATGTGGTACCATAATTATTTGGACCCAGATGGAGTGTTCTGCGGCTCACATTCCGGTGCCAGATACCACAGCACACCTCCAGGGGTCTAGAGGGCCCCAATCTCTCAACAGGTCTGGGTTGTTTGGCAGCAGAAACCGGACAAAAACATCATTAGGCTGGCGGCCATTAGGTTATGCCTGATTGGTGTATAAATTGTAATAAAAGCAACTCCCAGCTTGTATATGTTGGGATGAAAAAGGTTTACTGTGCCAGAACATCAAAACAGAACAAGAAATTATGTTCTATTTAAAATCTCTAAACTCCCTTCATACAGAAGCAGGAATCTGCTCTGAAAATTTATCATCCTTTTGTAATAGAGAGGCTACTAAAACATTCATTAACTTAAAGCTCTTAGTTGTAATGTTTGACAGACTGAACTAAAAACAGAAGTGCACACATATGAATACATTTATTTCTATTACCAACAAAATAAAGCATTTGACTTTCATGAATCTGTACACAAAGAGGAGGGAAAAACGCCGGCAGAACTAAATCTCTGCATTCTCCAAACAGATTTTCTTCACATTAGGAGCTCAGTTCACAGAAGGCTCTTTAAAATCTGCCCCCTGGTCTGTTTTTACATGTTATATATCACTGAAAAGCCATTAATGGAAACATCGCTACAGTGATACAGTAGGAACTTCTACAATAAAACAGCTGCAGGTTATCTTATCTTCCAAATTACCCTCTGGTCGCATCAACACATTTACCTTAATTACCTTTGAGTCTTCTTTAACGTACTGACATGGAGTTAGAAAACCCCAGGAGCCAAATCATGAGTATTTCCAGGAAATATACCTCATATTTTGTGCAACATGTTATCTATGGAGGATAAAAAGTGCCAAAATTAAATAAATAAATACAGCATTAAATAAATAATTAAATGTGTCAATAATTAATTAAATGTGGAATTAAATAAATAAATGTGTCATTCATTAATTAAAACCACGTCACTAATATAAAGTGCCACAATTAAATAAATAAATACAGCATTAAATAAATAATTAAATGTGTCAATAATTAATTAAATGTGGAATTAAATAAATAAATGTGTCATTCATTAATTAAAACCACGTCACTAATATAAAGTGCCAAAATTAAATAAATAAATACAGCATTAAATAAATAATTAAATGTGTCAATAATTAATTAAATGTGGAATTAAATAAATAAATGTGTCATTTATTAATTAAAACCACGTCACTAATATAAAGTGCCAAAATTAAATAAATAAATACAGCATTAAATAAATAATTAAATGTGTCA